CTGGGCCTGGGTGTTGTCCCTCAGCTCTTCAGCTCTAGGCTAGTGCTCTACCACTTGAGCCACAGCGCCACTTCCGGCTTTTTTTCTGCTTATGTGGTGCTGAGGAATTGAACCCATGGCCTCATGCATGCGAGGCAAGCACTCTACCACTGAGCCAACCTCCCAGCCCTCCGCTTTTAATGTTTAAGCTGCTCCAAAATAGTTAAGTACAATCTTGTCACAAGAAGGGAGGCCTGGATGGCCAAAGCTTCCCTTACACGGGAGGGAAGGGGTTTGGTGTTCTGTTGCAGGGTACAGTGACTGCCACTGATAATAATAAAACATATTAAACATAGCTAGGATTGGGGCTGGGAAGGTGGCTCAGTGGTAGAGTGCTTACCTAGCATGCATGAAGCCCTGGGTTCCATTCCTCAGCACCACAGACACAGAAAAAGCTGGAGGTGGTGCTGTGGCTCAAGTGGTAGAACGCTACCCTTAAGCAAAAGAAGCTGAAGGACAGCGCCCAGGCCCTGAGTTCAAGCCCCAGGACTGGCAAAAACAATAGCTAGGCGATCAGGAAGTGGGTACTGAAAGGGGTAGGCTGGGATCAGGGGCAGAGGGGTAGATGAATGAAGAGAAGATGGAGGGAGTGTGGTCAAGAATTCAATGTATCTCCTACAAAACTCAGACGAATGGGGGAAGGGCTGGGTAGGGGAGGGAAGGGTGAGAATATTGAGGATGACATTGATCAAGATACATTTACAACCTGCTTTGCTCAGCAGAAGCCCCTTGGTACAACCGCAATACTAACAGATAATAATAAAACTCATTAAAAATAAGGAGGAGAGACATTTTTAATATTCTTAGCAACCACAAATGATAACTGTTTGAGGCAAAGGAGAAAGATCTGGTTATTATGTGCATACCCATCTAAATGGACAGTTAGAGAAATGCATCCATCAAAAGGCAATAAGTCATGGAAACCAACTCAATACTGAGTTTCTCAAGAGAAATGTCTTGGAATGCTTCATTCAAGAACTGCCCAAACTGTGTTCTTCGTTTTGTGCTGGACTTTTCATACGAGGGAGGTTCTGCTTGCGGCAGGCTACCAAAACAAGATTCCCTCCCCTCTGTCTTCCCAGGGATTGTTCTGGATGGCTCAGCGTTTGTGAGCGCTCCCGGGAGATGTGCTTAGACTTGGAAGGCAGCCAGGATACGGAAAGATTCCCTTCCCCACCACCTGTCCAGGGACCGTAGAACGTTTAAAATCTTCCCTCAGGATATTTAATCTCTCTTGATTTTTAAATGTATTTCTTTAAAAATGAATTATCTTTTATTTTTATTTTATTTTATTATTATTTTTTTGCCAGTCCTGGGATTTGAACTCAGGGCCTGGACACTGTGCTAGGACTCTAACACTTGAGCCACAGTGCCCATTCCAGCTTTTTCTCTGATTAATTGAAGAGTCTCACGGACTTTCCTGCCCTGGCTGGCTTTGAGCCACCATCCTCAGATCTCAGTTTCCTGAGGATGACAGGCGTGAGCTGCCAGTGCCCGGCTATTTATTTTCATCTTTACTTTTAAGTAGTTGTGTGAAGGACTTGCTATTGAATGAAGCAGTTTGTGAACACAATGCATGTTGGTCAGAGCTGCCCATTCCGCATTCTGACCCCTCCCTCCCCTCCCCTCCCTCCCCTTCCCTCACTCTTCCTATGCATTGAATTCTTTACTCCATTCTCTCCCTTCTTCTCCTCTTCATTCGTCTACCCCTTTCCCCTTGACCCCATCTCCCTACTGCAGTTTTCCTAGTGTTTTATTTCGTTGAACGTTATCTCTTGTCTTTCTAAGGAATTACTCTATTTGAGTTCTCCCTTGAATCTACCGTATTTCAGTCAATACATTTGTGTACACTTGCACACCACCCAAGGGGGTTACTTATAAACGGATGAGCTGAATCCAGCTTCCACACACCAGGGAAACCTGCATCTGCTGTCTCTTTGGGCTTGACTTGCTTCACTTAATACAATTTTTTTTTCTGGGTTTTCCCATTTCTTCAGAAATGATACACTATCATTCTTTCTGATGGGTGAGGAGAATTCCACGCACGTGTGTGTGTGTGTGTGTGTGTGTGTGTGGTTATTGATCCATTCATCCATTGAGGGGCATCTGGGCTGGTTCCATTTTTTGATGATGGTAAATCATGCTGCCGGAAACATGGAGCTTTGTTGAATCCTTCTTTGTGGTCTTCTGAACAAATGTCCAGGAGTGGAATGGCTGGATCATAGGGAAGTTCTATGTTTAATATATAGCCAGTCCTGGGGCCTGAACTCTGGGCCTGGGTGCTGTCCCTCAGCTCTTCAGCTCAAGGCTAGCGCTCTACCCCTTGAGCCACAGAGCCACTTCCAGCTTTTTCTGCTTCTGTGGTGCTGAGGACTCGAATCGAACTCAGGGCCTCATGCATGCGAGGCAAGCGCTCTACCACTGAGCCACCTTCCCAGCTCCTATGTTTCCTATGCTGAGGAAGCCCCACACTGCTTTCCAGAGTGGTTGAAAAAGTTTACATTACCACCACAATGTCTTAGAGTTCTGGCCCATCCTGACCAGCTTACATTACCACCACAGTGTCTTAGAGTTCTGGCCCATCCTGACCAGCTTACATTACCACCACAGTGTCTTAGAGTTCTGGCCCATCCTGACCAGCTTACATTACCACCACAGTGTCTTAGAGTTCTGGCCCATCCTGACCAGTTTACATTACCACCACAGTGTCTTAGAGTTCTGGCCCATCCTGACCAGCTTACATTACCACCACAGTGTCTTAGAGTTCTGGCCCATCCTGACCAGCTTACATTACCACCACAGTGTCTTAGAGTTCTGGCCCATCCTGACCAGCTTACATTACCACCACAGTGTCTTAGAGTTCTGGCCCATCCTGACCAGCATCCCTTATCATTTGTTCGCTTGATAATGGACTGTCTACCTGGGATAAGGTAGAATCTCAGAGTTGTTTCCATCTGCATTTTTTCCAATTTTTTATTGTGCTTAAGGGTTACATAATTTCCCAAATTTCACAGTATTGTGGGATAGTGATGCTTAGTTAAAGTCACAAACACATTCTAACTTTCATGGGGCAAATTGTCTATCATGGTCTATAACATTTATGAGTTCTATGAGCTTTGCGATACAGTTATTTCTTCCACATAGGGTGATCTGTACATTTCTTTTGTTTTGCATAGCATCAGCTGTTCCCTCTTTCCTACTTGCTCCCTCCCTCCCATCACTGCCATTGAGATGCTTAGATCATTTTGGTCAATGTCCAGTGCAGCTGATGGGTCCCACTGTTGTATGTTTTTCCTTGATTCCCTCTAGTTCTGTGTCATCCTCCTGGTTTCCCTCCGGTGTGCACATATATACCATGTGTGTGATCAGCAGCATGGGGTTATTTAGTAGTGGTTCGACCAGATGAGTGGAAGTTCTTTGTTTCTTAAGTCCTGTTAGTTTTGTCGTATCACCTAACATTTTGGAGTTAGCATCCACTTATCAGGGAGACCATGTACCGTTTGTCTCTTTGCTCTTGGCTTACCTCGCTCAACATGATTCCTTCTAGCTCCATCCATTTCCCTGCAAATGCCATTATTTTGTCCTTTCTAATGGCTGCATAATATTCCATTGTGTATAGATACCACAATTTTTGGATCCATTCATCTGTGGTGGGGCATCTAGGTTGTTTCCATACCTTGGCTATTGCAAACAGTGCTGCAATAAACATGGAGGTGCATGTGTCTTTGTATATTGATTCCTGTTGTTCAGGGTAGATGCCTAGAAGTGGTATGACTGGGTCGTAAGGGAGGTCAATCTTTAGCTTTCTAAGGACCCTCCAGACTGCTTTCCAAAGTGGTTGTATAAGTGTACATTCCCACCAGCAGTGTAATAGGGTTCCTCTTTCTCCACATCCCCTCCAGCATTTGTCGTTGGCTGACTTGAGGATGTGGGACATTCTGACTGGGGTAAGGTGGTATCTCAGGGTTGTCTTTATTTACATTTCCTTCACAACCAGGGATGGTGAACATTTCCTCATGTGTTTCTTTGCCATTTTTTTGATCTGAGTTTTTTTTTTGTTGGTCATGAGGCTTGAACTCTGGGCCTGGGCGCTGTCCCTCAGCTCTTCAGCTCAAGGCGAGCGCTCTACCCCTTGAGCCCCAGTACCACTTCCTGTTTTCTGGTGGCTAATTGGAGATGAGTCTCATGGACTTTTCTGCCCAGGCTGGCTTTTAACCGTGATCCTCAGATCTCAGCCTCCTGAGTAGTTAGGATTATAGGCGTGAGTCAATGGCGCCTGGCTTTGGTGTATATTTCTGTGTAGTGATCTCTTACTTGGTGTGACTCTCTAGGCCTGGAAAACCTGAGGGTACCAATGCCATTTTTTATTTTTTGTTACAGTGTAGATCTATCTGTAGATTTCCTGGATAAGCAGCTGCCACCTGGTTATCCCTAAGTTCCTCTTTGCATTCTTTGAATGCAATGGAAATAAACAGTAACAAAAATTTTTTTGAGCCGGGTGCCTGTGGCTCATGCCTGTCATCCTAGCTACTCAGGAAGCTGAGACCTGAGGATCGCGGTTCAAAGCCAGCCCAGCAGGAAAATCCATCAGACTCTATCTCCAATGAACCACCAGGAAGCCAGAAGTGGCGCTGTGGCTCAAGTGGTGGAGCATTCGCTTTGAGTTGAAGAGCTGAGGGAAAACGCCCAGGCCCAGAGGTCAAGCCCATGACTGACACACACACAAAAGAATACTTAATAGCATGGGAAAAAGAGTAATAGGAGACTGCAAATTGAACTCAGAAATAGTCAAGGAATGAATGAATGGGAATCAGTGATACACAAAATGGAGGGCTGAAGTACTGACTTAGAGGATCTATAGCACTGTGCCTCTTCCACATTGGCATTGTAACCGTTTGTCATGTCTTTGGATTCTTTCTCTCTCTTTTTTGCTAGTGACATCTGCCACGTGGGGCCAGAGAATGAATGACACCCAGATGTCAGAGTTTATACTCCTAGGATTTTCAGAAGATCCCAGAACGCAGCTCATCCTCTTTGGGCTCTTCCTGTCCATGTACCTGGTCACTGTGCTCGGAAATCTGCTCATCATCCTGGCGGTCAGCTCTGACCCCCACCTCCACACGCCCATGTACTTCTTCCTCTCCGTCCTCTCCTTGGATGACGTCTGCTTCACCTCCACCACCATCCCCAAGATGCTGCTCAACCTCCACACGCACAGCCGGGCCATCAGCTACGCGGGCTGCGTGGCCCAGATGTCTTTCTTCTTGATTTTTGCAGGGCTGGACAACTTCCTGCTGGCGGTGATGGCCTACGACCGCTTCGTGGCCATCTGTCACCCGCTGCGCTACGCGGCCATCATGAGCCCCCGGCTCTGTGTGCTGCTGGTGCTGGGGTCTCTGATGGTGAATGTTCTGTATTCCACCATGCAAAGCGCCATGGTGCTGCGGCTGAACTTCTGTGCCCACTGTGAAATCCCCCACTTTTTCTGCGAGCTGAACCAGGTGGTCCACAGCGCCTGCTCCGACACCTTTCTCGATGACGTGCTGATCTATCTGGCAGCTTTCTTGCTGGGTGGCATTACTTTCACCGGCATCCTGTATTCTTACTCCAAGATCGTCTCCTCCGTCCGGGCCATGTCCTCCGCTCAGGGGAGGTACAAGGCCTTCTCCACCTGTGCATCTCACCTGTCCGTGCTCTCCCTGTTTTACGGGACAGTCCTGGGTGTGTACCTCAGCTCTGCTGTCACCCGAAACTCACACTCCACCGCAAGAGCCTCGGTGATGTACACGGTGGTCACGCCCATGCTGAACCCCTTCATCTACAGCCTCAGGAACCAAGACCTCAAGAGGGCTCTGGAAAGGCTTTTTGAGAAAGAGCTAAGAAAAGTGCCCGTCCTCCTGAGGTGAAATGCATGTCCGTGACTACGGGAGTCGGTACGGGAGGTTGCACCTGATCGGATGATGGGTGCACAGCATATTTTATCCTCTGTCATTGCTCAGGATTATTTGTCTCTGATTTTAGCTACAATTCAAATTAGGTTCTCCACTTTTCCACACAGCTACTCAGCTCCATTTCCTTTAACTTTCCAGTGATTTTCCAACTTTCCAATAAAGCATATTTGGAATTTCCCATTTATCGATCCCCTCTTCCTCCTATACATATGTATGTGTGTGCGTACACACACACACACACACACACACACACACACACACACACACATTTGTCCTGATCCTGGGTCTTGAACTCAGGCTCTGGATACTGCCCCTGATAAACTCAGGGCCTGGGTGCTATCCCTGAGCTTTTTCACTCGAAGCTAACACTCGACCACCCGAGTCACAGCTCCACTTCTGTCTTTTCCATCGTTAATTGGAGAGCGTCTCATGGGCTTTCTGCATGGGTGGGCTTTTTCATCGTTAATTGGAGAGCGTCTCACGGGCTTTCTGCATGGGTGGGCTTTGAACCATCACTCTCAGCTCTCGGTTACCTGGGTAGACAGGATTACAGTGAGAGCCACTGGAGTCCCGGCCAAAAACAAAATTTTAAGGTTTTTTTTCCCCCGTCACAAATACCAGGTGACACACTAAACAATAACGAATCTGTTTTATGATTTTTGGCGTATCACATTGCATATGCTGACAGTTTTAACTATGATATTACGGCGCACGCCTGCAGCGGGCTCTGCCCGTGTTCCCTCCTGCTGGCCCCTTGCTGTGTTCCTCCTCCTTTGTAATTCCTCATCCATTTTCCGCTGTTCTGCTGCTATTCACGCATCCCTTTATTATCTTTAAATAGCTGTGTGAAGGAATTTGATTCAACATGTCAGGTTATCTCATGAATTTTCACAAACTTGCTTTTTTTTTTTTTTATTTACTGCTCATCTTCCCCTAACAACTTTTACAAACAAGAGAAAGACATCCAAGCAAGCACATGCTCACCACTCTGTGCAAAATCTGAAGGCTTCTCTCTGGCATCACAAGCCATCATTGGAGTGCAAAACACCCTAAGGCATGGGGGAATTTTCTTTTTGTTGGGTACCAGTGGCTCATGCCTATAATCCCAGCTACTTAGAAGATAGAGAGGAACCACAATTCAAAGCCATCCTGGATGGAAAAGTCTTTGAGATCCTAATCTCCAATAAATCATCAAAAAGCCAGAACTGGAGCTGTGGCTCAAGTGGTAGAGCATTATCCTTGAACATAAAAGCCCAGGGAAAACAAATCGTTTAAATAGGGATACAGGTGGACCCATTGCAACAATGAGATGTACAAGTCGTTATGTTGAAAACGAACTTTACAACTTTGGTGGTGGTAGGGGGGAGCGGGGAGGATTGGGTGGGGGGGGGCAGGGGGAGGATGGGAAGGGGAAAGAAAGGAGGAGGCTACAATGCTTGATAAGAAATGTACTCATTATCTTGCCCATGTCATTGTAACCCCTCTGTACAGTATTTTCACGAAAAAAAAACCAAAAAAAACATTAAAAAAAAAAAAAGCCCAGGGACAGTGCCCAGGTCTTGTGATCAAGCCCCAGGATCAACATACATACAAAATAAAAGCCATCAGCCGTACTACTGTGGTGTGTGGTGATCATATTGTAATTGGGACATTGGTGAGATTTTTTTTTTATCAGAAAAAAAATCAGAGACTATGTGCATGCGTGTGTGTGTGTGTGTGTGTGTGTGTTTTGTGTGTGTGTGTGTACCACTCCTTGATAGATCACCAATTAAAACTACCTCTCCTGATCAAGTTGATTTCAGCACTGTACAACTGCATACCATCCTGATATCTCTGTATTGGTCAATTTTCTCATCTATGTTGCCCAATCGGAGAGACACATCTTAAATGATGACATTGAGCCATCTAAGTTAACCCCAGAGAGATGAATACCTGTTGTGATCTCTCATTCAAAGAGAGAATTAAAAACAGCCATGGTGACAATGATAAGATGACATGAAGGCTGAGGGGCAGATTTTCAGAGGTGGCCACTGTGGGGTAAGGAGAAGATACATGTATGAAAATAGCATAAGGTCCATATGACTAGAAGAGGAGATACCGAGGGAAAGAAGTAGGAGGAATGGTGAATTTGACCATGGTAAAGTACATAAATGCATGGTAACACGGCAATGAAATCCCCCTGTGGATTATATTGTGCTAATAGAGCACGGTGTAGAATATGTACAGCTAAGCGCTCATCAAAAAGAAAAAGGCAGCCAGGCACTGGTGGCTGACGCCTGTAACCCAAGCTACTCAGGAGGTTGAGATCAGAGGATCACAGTTCAAAGCCAGCCTGGGTGAGAAAGTCTGTAAGACTCTATCTCCAATGAACCACCACAACTGGCATTGTGGCTCAAAGTGGTAGAGCCTTGAGCTAAAGAGCTCAGGGACAACACCCAGGCCCTGAGTTCAAGCCCCAGGACCAACAAAACAAAAATAGAAAAGGAAGACCTAAATAATTGCATGGTATCACATGCTTATTATAACACACCTGTTCTAAACAACTTCTATCTGTGGTCCTTCTGTTCTGTGGGTTAGAATTCCCAGCATGCTTTGGCTGACGTTTCCCAGGCAGTGTCTCACAATGGTCAGGCTGCGTTTCCAGCTGGAGAGCAGGAGGGACCTCTGGGCTCCCCTAGGCCCCTTCACGGACCTGACTCCTTCAAGGCCCAGCTAGAGCTCGCTTGTGTGGGTTGGCCTCCGGTCCTGTCACCTTGTTGGCTGTTGGACGAAGCTTGTTTTCAGCACCAGGAGCTGTCCAGGTGAGGGGCTCACCTGGAGTCGGTCACTACCACAGGCCGGCAGGATGGTTGTAAGCTGCAGAAATCCTTCCTTAGCCAGGTGCCAGTGGCTCACGCCTGTCATCCTAGCTACTCAGGAGGCTGAGATCTGAGGATCATGGTTCAAAGCCAGCCTGGGCGGGGAAAGTCCATGAGACTCTTATCTCCAATAAACCACTCGGAAAACTGGAAGTGGTGCTGTGGCTCAAGTGGTAGAGTGCTCGCCTTGAGCTGAAGAACTGAGGGACAGCGCCCAGGCCCAGAGTTCAAGCCCCACAACCGACCAAAAAAAAAAAAATCCTTTCTTAGACAAGACTGAGATGTCTCCTCTTTCTATCCATCTAATCTTGTTTTAGTCGCTGCCTTCAACACCCTTTCCCTGTTATGCCAAGGTCGCAGGATCTCCCACAAGAAGACCACCGAGAGTCAGATTCTACAGATGTTTTATTTAAATGGGCTGCAGCTCGGGCCTCGTCCTACACTCCAATACAGCAGAGTCTAGGAGGAGAGCCCCGAGCTCAGTCTTATATAGGCACACAATCAACCAGGTGTTTTGATTACCACCACGTGTTGCTTAGCAAAGCAACACGTGGTGGTCACTGCCTCAAACTTTAACCTTTCATTCTCCCCCTTGACTTATGGTCCTGAGCCACAATCTTGTGGCTCTGGCCCAAAACTAAACTCCAACAGTTCTTGATCTTGAACGGGTATACCAATAACAATCAGTCCATTTTTCTTTTCTTGAGACATATGTGGATTGGTTGGGTAGGATGCTTGGAGACTTCCCATGTTTCCCCACGGTCATCCAGGGCAAAGGGGTCAGCTGTCTGGCGTGGGAGCAGTGGATCCAAGCAGCAATGCCATCCACCTTAAAGGCAGTGGGTGTAGCCAATAGCACCATGTAAGGTCCCTTCCATCGTGGTTCCAGAGATCTCAGGTTGTGCCTTCGAACAAACACCCAGGCCCTTGGTTTAAACAAATGGGGGTAGGAATAGAAGCAGAATCATATAATGCTCTAAGCTGGGGCCACATACTCTTATGCACCAGCTGTAAATAGTCAAGCTTACACAGAAATTCAGTATCATCCAATCAGCAAGCAATTCAGTCTGAAGGCTAGGGATAATGGGTGGAGGGTGTCCATACATTATTTCAAAAGAAGTAAAGCCAAGCCGATAGGGTGAATTTCTTACTCTAAACAGGGCAAAAGGAAGGAGTGATACCCAGTCTGCGCCAGTCTCCAAGGCCAATTTAGTTAAGGTCTCTTTTAGAGTCTGATTCATTCTTTCTACCTGCCCTGAACTCTGGGGTCTATAAGCACATTGCAATTTCCAATCCATCCCCAGTGCCACAGCTCTTCCCTGACTTACTTTTGAAATGAAGGCCGGTCCATTGTCCGACCCGATGGTGGATGGGAAGCCATACCTGGGTAGGATTTCTTCCTGGATCTTCTTAGCCACGATGTTCACAGTCTCATGCTTTGTTGGGTAGGTTTCAACCCATCCTGAAAAAGTGTCTACAAAAACTAGCAAATATTTATATCCAAATTTTCCAGTTTTAATTTCTGTGAAGTCTACTTCCCAATACACACCTGGCCTATCTCCATGGAGGCGAGCTCCTTTTGTAACCGGTTGATTGGGGGCATTGGTGAGCTGACAGGCTTTACAATTTCTATCAATGTCCTCAATGAGTTGATTTCCTTGCCTGATTTTACTTCGGAGAAAGTCCTGCATTCTTCGGGTTCCCATGTAAGAGACCCGATGGATTCTCTTAAGAATCCCCTTGCCCAATCTTTGTGGCAAGATAAGTTTCCCCTCACCAGTTTTCCACCAGTCTTTGTTTCCTCCTCTGTCCAGGGGTTTATAGGCCATGGGAATTTTCTTTATCCACTCCAAGTCTTCTTGGGAGTACTGAGGCTCAGGAGACAAAGCTCGTGGCCCTGGGTCTACTAGAGTCAGTACTTCCGCTCTGGGCTGCAGGGCCGCCTCCTTAGCTGCCTGATCGGCCAAGTTATTTCCTTTGGTTATAGAATCAGTTACCATTTGATGGCCAGAGCAGTGCATAATGGCAATATTTGCTGGTTCCCATATGGCCCGGATGAGGCTTAAAATTTCTTGTTTGTTTTTAATAGTCTTTCCC